GAACTTGCCTTTTACCCAAGACATCTTAATATGAGTTTTGAAGCATCAGATTACTTGGTCTCTTCACACAGTTTCCCTGACTGTACCTGTATTTTGCTTGTCTGACCCTGTGTTTCACATTTCAAAGACTTATTGATCTGGACTCCAAGCTCAGGTTTTGCAGAATACAAAATCAGTAAATTTATTTTTATTTCTCTCTCTCTCTCTCTCTCTCTCTCCCCACTCCTCCATACAAAAAGATACCATTTTTAAAATTTAGATTCAAGCTCTCTTTCCTGGTATTTGGGATTCAAATTCTACATCACTGAGAACAGCAGAGCAGAAACTATCTGGTTTATTTTTACTCCTTAAAAAAAAAGGCAACTCATTGCATTTACAGTGAAAAATAAGCTAGGGTTTTAAAGATCACCACTTTAAAAACCAAGAGTATTGCAAGTAAAACAGGCAAGGAAGGCTGCTGTTGTAAAAGCAAGAGAAAAATTATTATTTTACAGTTAATTTTCTTTATTTATTCTTTATTCATTTCACAGAATCACAGAATGGTTTGGGATGGAAGGGACCTTAAAGATCATCTAGTTCCAACCCCCCTGCCATGGGCAGGGACACCTTCCACTAGACCAGGTTGCGCAAAGCCTCATCCAGCCTGGCCTTGAAGACATCCAGGGATGGGGCATCCACAGCTTCTCTGGGCACCCTGTTCCAGTGCTTCACCACCGTCCCAGGAAGAACTGCTTCCTGATGCCCAGTCTGAATCTACCCTCTTTTCAATGTAAACCCATTAACCCTTGTAACTTACTCTCCTTTCCTACCTCTGAGATACCCTTACACAATGTAGTGTAAGCTGCATTTTCTTCCCTTAGCTACACCATTTTAAAACAGATGGAAGTATCTATAATCCAGATTCCTTCCCCCAGTCTTCAGGAAATATAGATTGGTCTAGCTCCATCAAAGTCAATGAGCCTACGTTGATTTACATAAGCAGAGCACCCTAACATTAAGAAGCTGCAAATTAATTCTGATAAGTAATAAGATATGGTGTTTATAAGCCAGTGGTTAAAAAGACTAAACTTTGAAATTATTATCAATATTTAACTCCCACTTTTCAAGAAATAACTGCATCTGTGTGATAGATTAAGAGCTATGTAGCTAACCTTCCAAAATTTACTTCACACTGCTAATCAACCCTGCCCACAGGTTCAAGACAAGCTGTGTGCCCACTCCTTGCTTAATGAAACATCAACACATGCATCATTTCTGACCAACTTCTTCATACTCAGAACCACTCTGTTATTCAATAATTTAATATCCTACTTCAATAATCATAATAGAGTGTTAACAGCTGTTACATTATTCATTTACTCGCATACATGCGCTGTGCCAGCAAACAATGAAGTTGCTCATCTCTCAAGAGGTATTTCATGACAAAGAACCTGCAGTGGCAAGCCCAGGGATGTCAGCAGAGCTACCCTGGGCTCCTCCCAGCCAAAACTATGGACTAGGATGTGCAATCTTACCTCTTGAGAATGCTTCAGGTAATCACTGAATGGTATGGTGTGCCTACTGATGTCTTGAGTTTTCATTTTCTGGTGCATGTAACTGAGACGTTCCAAACCTAGCCAAAAGAGCAGGTGTCAGCTATTTCCAGAGTGTAACTGAACAGCTTGACTGCTACAAACCAAACACTTAGGCACTGCTGCAAAATAAGCACCTATACACCATATTGCCCCAGAAAACACAAAATAGGTTATAGAAGCAGTAACAGAATTTCATAGGGTTAAAACAGACTGTTTCCATTCCCTGTCAGCAGATTTTGGAGGAGCACAGCCCTTCTCAGACCACACTGTGCTGCATCACAGCATTCCCTGGTGCTTCTCCCAGAAGCTCACAGGATGAAGCCAGTGAGCTGCATCACAGCAAAGCTGAAAGATAAGATGAACTACGCAAAGGATTTCTGAGAATGAAAGAGTGGGGGAATTACTAAAAGGAGAGTAAGAATGCTATTCCCTTTTCATTCCAAGAGAGATGATACAGAATTCATTTCTTCCCTTTGGAGGATGTCTTTCTGAGCCATGAGTAATGAATAATTCATGCAGAGGATCTGCCAGCAGACTCCGTATCACAGCACTGCCTGTGAGTGTAAATGCCCTGAGAAATTCACAAGAGAGTTTATTTTTGCAATTAGCCAGGATGCCACTTCAGAAGACACCTCAGGAGAAGAGACAAGGGTATCATCCTCCTCGCTTCTCACTTATTTCTGAGGATTAGTACTCTGCCATCTCCCACATGCGAGACAGGTAGCACTCACGGAAAGATTTAACTGGCGTTCCATCTAACCTGTGTCCCTCTGTCTCTGAAAGGACAGAGCAAATAACCAAGTCGTGTGTGCCTGCATCCTAATTCAATCATGCCATGAGGTGAAAGTGGTGGATGACACTTTGAAATTAGTGAATTTTTATTTACTGCTTCTTTTCCAAAGCTGTTCTGAATTTCACCGTCCGCAAAACATCACATACTTTGCTGACTGAAATTAGACACCGTGAGCCAGTTCTTGCTGTGTTTCTCTTGCTCATTCCAGACATTGATCTCTGCGGGCTCTGAGCTCACTTGGGTGTTCTGGGGACAATCATCCACTCTAATCACCTGGCAAGACACAGACAAAACAACATTCAATTTATAGGATGACTAGCACCTCTGCAGTTCCTCTGACAGAGGATCACTGAAATGCCAATGAACAAACTCGCTCCCAACTGAGAAACAGATCTTCCCATTTTTGTTACAACCTGCAGAAGATACTGCTTCTGTCTAGTAAATACTACCTATGAAAGATCTAGCACTACAGCTCTTTAAAACAAAGTTAGAAGTCCCTCAGAATACCTTCAAAGGTATTAGGTCTCCAAGTTCAAGTCTAAGATCTGTTGCTGACCTGAGCATGTTATGTAAACAAGTCTTCAGCTTTCATCTCATTAACAGAGATAACACTTTCCAGCTGACAAAGATCCTGGGAATCTCTTTATAACAATATAAATAGATTTATATATATGTACACATACATACACTTATGAAAGTTGCCCCATACATAGGACACAATCAATATGGTCTCTGCAATGGGCTAAATGTTAGATGGATTCAGAGAAAACACTGTAGGACTTTTGGAGGCAGGGACCAACATCAGGAGGCCTGGCTTGCTTTTTTACAGTGGCACACTGCCTGGGAATTGCTCACCACTCCTTCAGTCTATCCTAGATCATATGAAGCACCTACAAGCACTTATGTCAGCTAAAGTGCAAGGACTTTCAGTATAAAATCACTAATATCCCTGGTATACTACCTAGCAAAACCCATAGACTCCCCACATGTTCAAAACTGAAATACCATATATTCAAAAACATGGGAAATGAAACCAAAGCCAGACACACAAAAAAAGACACCCCAATTTGTGTGCAGCATTTTAAATGTATACGTTTTCAACTAAGCCACACTGCAGAACTCCTTTTAATGAATGAAAAAGGCAGCTGTGGGACATGTGATTCTCTTGCATCTGCACATACCGGCACCTGAAGGGGTTTTTGATTCTTCTTTCCTCTCCCAGATTTTCTGTCTCTGTTTTGTTGGTTTGCTTTTGTTGCCTCACTGTGGTGTAGCTCACTGGATCTTAAAGACTAAAAAGAAAGAGTCAAAAAACACCATTAAGCTACAGAGCTTTTGTTTACCGAGAGAAGATCTGATCAGACTGAGGGTTGGCAGATCTCCAAAGCCAGCTGAGAAAGGCTTGTGGCATCCAAAGCTAATACTCATGCAGTTCAGTGCAAAGATGTGCACCATCACAAGATATAAAACAACAAATGTTATCCATCATCTCATACTATTCATACTTAGAACTGGAATCTGCTACATCTTAGCTGTTGGTAAGCGAACTCGGTGGTGGAGAGGCAGGCTTTTAAACTGGCTAGAAAAATATATACCTCTTCATTCTCCATACATCCATCTGACCTATGGTATTGCTAATGTATCTCTACAGGATTGTGTAATTTATTTTGGCTCCTACAACCCTTGCATTGGATCCCCAGGGCAGACTTCCCTGGAGTGAGCACAGTCCCTCCCCATTCACCCTGGCTGTGTAGCCACAGCCATAGGGATCCTGTGAGATGGGGAGAATCAGGCTGGCTGACAAACAAGCTTGGTGCAGCCTGGATACCAGACACATTTCAGAAATTCCCTACAGCAGTCAGATTCAGCACAAAGAAAGTGGAGTAAGTCTGGATCCTGCTACTACCCTCAGCTGCAGCCGATACCTCCTGGGTGCAAAGAAAACATATTTATAATGCCCTGGGCTCCCCAGTAAAAGATACAGTACAGATGTAGTGCATTATAATTACCACTTATGGCTTTGCAGGTTTTCTCTCTTTTCTCTTTCTTAGGGAACTGTAAACTGTTGCTCCTGCAGAAACTCCAGTCCCTCCAGAGTGGGCTGATCCAGAAGGAGGTGCTGCGTTTTAGCTTATTCCGAGAGATGCTGCTGCTGTTACGTGATCTGTCAGAGTTGTAGGAGAAGGACTTTGATTCTCTTATCTGGACATGCCTGGGAGGACTACCTGTGCAGTTGCAGTCACTGTTATAGGTGGAATGCATGCACGGGGCCTTCTTTTCTTTCTTCCCTGAACTGAAAACTCCTTTTTCATCACCTTCAGAGAATCCCCAGTTCACATAGCCACCTTCAGCTTCTTCCCTGTCATCACAAGGGGGTGCAGCCCTCTCTTCAACACCCAGCGAAGACGAGAGATCCAGAGGATGATCAGCCTCTACAGCATCAGTCTTTTCTGATGGCAAGTGAATAACAAAGTCTCTCTGGCTCCACTGATAACCTTCTGGCTCTTTTCCAATGAGGCTGACACTCTGTAAGTTTTGCTGTACCACAATGCTACTTTGCAGTTCATCTTTGAATGAATCATCCCTGTACTTGGCAGGACTGCTCAAAAAGGACAAATTTAAGGTGCCATCCTCAGAGAAAGACCCTCTCTGATGGTCAGGGGGCACCAGCAAAAATTGTCCATATCTAGGGGTTGACTTAGTCTCTGAAGATACTCCTGAAGTAAGTGTGTCACTTTCTATTTCTATCTTTTGAGAACTATCTTCTACGACCTTGTTGCTCTCAGTCTTCAATATGTGGTCTTTGCACTCTGATGGCCACTGACTCCGTACCAAGCTCCGTAAGAGGGAGGGTGGCATGCTGTAGTAGTGGTACTTCTTGTCATACAAACATTCCAGGCTGCTCAAGGTCTTGGAATAAAGTGCATTGCTCCAGCTGTGGGGCAGCTTCCTACAGGTCTGATGTTTTGTGTCAGCCAGTAAGGCTTCTTCCACCTGCAAGGTGTCCACAGCTGAGAGCACTTTTAGGATGTCCACTGTCAAGGCAGACAGGTCTTGCAAATGTCCTAGCTGGCTGTCCAAGGAGAGTAAAGACTCCTTGATATAAAATACCTTCTCATGTACTTCTTTAAGCTGCAGAAACATCTCCTCTACCCTACGTGGAAAAAGAAGCGATAATTAAAATAACAAAACACAGATCTTTACTTCTGTTTGCCAGGTGATGAAGGAAGCCATTAACACATTTCAAAAAGTCAGCTTTTTAGACAGCCTTTTATTTTTTTTTTTTTCAGTGGTGAATTCCATTCCCATGAATATCTATATTTGACAAAACCAATCCAGACTTACAACATGTCATTCAGACTTCTGGGCCGACAGCCAGTGACTTTCAAGGAAACAGGCTTTTTGCTCAAGGAGTATCTATTTTAAAAACTGTTATTTTCCTATTAATGTCCATTCCTTGCCAGAGAACTACTAAATCATGGACAGCAGAACACAGTTTTGGAAATGCTGCATTGGCTATTGCTGTAAATGTAAAATTCTGTAACATATACTTCTTGTCAGTCACCCATTTTGCATGTCTACACTTCTTGTGCAAGCATGAGAAGGACAAGGCTCACACAATCCTGCAGATATAATTGCACTTCTCAAATACTGGAGACTGCTGGGAAAAAGGTCTTCCCAATAACCTATTTGGCCTCTGGGAACAGATTCTGTATGGCTGATGTCATCAGTTATCTTCAGGTAAAATTCAACTGCCCAAAAAGTAAAGCCTTTTTTTATGGTCTTCAAATCCCCAGTGAAACTGCAAGAACTTCTTGGGCTGGAATGATATCATTGTAACCAAATCATTATCTTCATGTTTCCTGAAGATACCCTCTCTGGTGCTCTGTCACGAAGTCAATGATAAACTAGCTGCAGGCAATATGCAGAAGCTGCTCATTTCCTTTGTCACTGAGTAACTAAAAAATGTAGCATTTAACCAACAGCTGGATAAAATCGAAGACCAGTGTTCCAAAATATTTTATTAATCTAAATTAATTTCTTGTATTAATGTTATGCAATGCTGTGAAGTGTGTTTTACCTTTGCACTCAGAAAAAAATGCCTTTCTATATCTGTGTTTATCCACTAAATGGAATCTTGCTGTAATAGATTCTGCAGCGTTTGAACAAAGCTATCTATTTTATTTCTTTTACAAAGGACATTCATTTTGCTTGTGTGTTTTGTCTTAGTGTGCAGAAAATAAGATTATGAACAGGCAAAGATTAAGAGGCTATCTTTTTCTAGGCATAGCAAATTTATGTGATGAGATCAGCATTGGCATTCAGTAAGACTTTTTATAGTGCTCACTTTCTTTAACTCTTCTCATTAAATTTAATGGCAGCTTTGCCATTGCTTTCAACAGAAAGCTAATGTAGGCAAATATTGAGAGTTTTGAAACCATGTTGACACTTGTGTATTGATATTTTGCAAACCAAGACATTACACTGCAGATAATGCTACGGTGGTTATATGGTTATTTCTGTAAACAACCATTATACTCAGTCACAAACAATACTCTCACAGCGTTCCTACACTGCTAAGCCTTTAAACAAAAGTATGTATTGCATGCTGTACTCCAGCATGTTCTCATGGTCTGCAAAGGTGAAACAGAGCAACCCCTTACTCAACACCCTTAACCACCTGCACACCGCAGACACCTCGGGATGTGATTCTGCCAGCAAGACTACCCAGTCAAGCCTGCCATGTAGCCCAAACAGGTACATCAGACTTCCATTAAATTAGCAAGGACTTTGAGTGTTACTGCTCCTCATCTTCAGAGTGGGAATAGCCTGTTCCAAAAGCATTACCGTATCACAGTCTTTTTATATGGCAGATGTATACAACAAGCACCAACTCACAGCAAAACACACCTCTCTGTGGTCAGACGGATCCTTTCACTGTCACTAGAACTCAGGCTTTCGTTCTTCTCATGAAAATATTTTTCCACACATTGTTCCTCGAAGTCATGGAGCTTCTTTAACTCCTCATCACTCAGGTACAGCTCTGCACAAAGGAGGTAGGAGTTGGTATGAAGCATGCTGATAAATGCAACATCCATGAGAAAAAATGAATGCTGCCCCAACAGGTTTCCTCCCTCTCCCTTGACAAGAATGAATCAGACCTAACTCCATGAATTTGGGCTTATGTATAAAAATTCAACATGCCAAATACATGTAAATATGGTTTTTTATCTTTCCTTAGATTGGCAGCAAAATGACACTGACAAAAATTCCGGTGTACTTAGTTTAAAGCCTTAAAAGTACATACCCAAATGTCTGCTCACAAAGATGCATTTTGTCACAGACTTTTTCCTGTATTTTGTTACACATGTGTGACTCACAGGACTTAGATACAGACATGTAAGACTTAGAAAGATTTCACTGTAATTTGGTACCAGCATTCATATAGGTATAGTCACCTATACAGACTACAGTCCTTTCAGGTACTCAACGCTACAAAGCTTTTTTTCATCTAATTGCTTCACATATTCAAATGTATGAAACATTAAGAGATTGCTGGGTGAAAAAGAACACATTCAAAAGTTTAAAACTCCACAGCTTGAGCTGCTCATGATGCTGTTCTTCTAGCATACCAAGACTTCTGAGAGAACAGATCAATTATAAGTCAGTACAAACAAAGGCATACGGTGGAAAGCTGCTTCTCTGATCCAAAATCCACATCTTCCAAGCTCCTTTTTTCTTTCCTTTTTTACATACCAGAGTCCTCACTGTACTTGCTAGGGGGGAGGGTTATCTGTGCCATGCGACACGGCAGCATTTGCTACAGGCATGTAGTACCTGGCTGCAGCACACAGCTAGGCAGGGAAGCCCCCCGCAGTTTTCTGGGGTCCCTCTCTCACTACGAATGAGACTTGATCACATCCTAGACTCTTTTCCCCGCACTAACCCATTCGTGTTCTTGCCTCCGAGATTCTACTGTGTACATTGTTATTTTCATTGGTTTTCCACAGGGTGGCGCTGGATCCTCATTGCTAAAACTAGTTAATTACAACCACACCGAAATTTAAATAGAATAAACTTTACCAAGCAATCATAGGCATCTACAGAAGGGACACAAAGGTATATAAACAGGAAAAAAATACTCCTTCTGAGAGTAGTGAACTCTCTTCTATCCAAGGACTTTGAGATGTGCTAAGCAGTATTTCAGTTTTCCTCGCGCCTAATGCACCTTGTAAGTAAGACACCCTCCATGCTACACCAGTGACTTACACTACGCATGCATATAAAATAATCAGTGATACTTCAAAGGCAGGCTGATGTATCCAGTCATGACATAGGAGCTGAGCCTGGGAGCAGCAGAAAAGCAGCTCAGCATTGATTAGTTAAGCCCATTTTTTAACTCCGTAACCACCTGTTAGTGTGCCAGATATCCTCAGGGATTCATGTGCAGCACAGAAAATCTTAAGTTAAGCATAACCTAGGCAGTGTCTGCTCAATTCTGTTATTAGGCATCAAGGATGTACGTTGCATCAGAAAGGATAAGGCTGTGTAAGACTATGGATGAATGCTCCCCTGTGTTGTTTAGATAAGGTTACGGCTCCTCCTCCCTATTCTCCTGCCTCACCCCACCAACCACCAAGCCCCACTGCTATGGAGTATTCATTCCCATCCCAACATCTTGTGGTCCCCTCTCGGCAATAGCTAGGGCTGCTCCTGGCAGAGCTCCTGGAGCCGGCCACAGTGGGACAGAGAACTGTCATCGCCTTAAAGAGGCATTCGGAAAGACCCTAGAAGCTGAGAAGGGTGAGGGAGGTGGGGTTAAGGTGCAGTGGTGAACAGGTGCACAAAGGGAAGGATGCAGTGAGGCGTTGGGAAGCCCCTGTGCTCACTCTCCACATCTGCCATCACTGGATCTCCTCTGTCCTCAGGCTCTGGTTACTTTCTCCAGGCAATTAAAAAGGAATTGTTGGTCTTTTCATGACAAATGCACAGAAACACATACCTCCGGTATTGTTCACTTTCTTGCAAAATAAAGCTTCTCCATCCTACAGAAAAAGCTGCTGTCACTTTATTTCAGCCCAGAGTAGTGATGTATCTTGATTGATATACAGTAACTAACACAGACAAAGACAAACACAAAACAAACCATTCCCCTAGTCACTTTTTCCTACAAGACTTCTCAGACAGGCAGGTTAAATTCAGTTTTGCAAATAAAAACAGCTTCCAATGCAGGGAATCTCTTTGGTTTTTTTTCAAGAAACTGAGCTCTAGATAGATGGGAGGCTGGCAAAACATTCCTCATCAGCTATTCCCTTTGGTCCCTAGCTTAGCTCTGCTTACTTAGGCCAACATCGCCTTCCTCTTGATCCAGCTCATTTGGGGGCCGATGGCAGAAGATGCGGTTCATCAGAAGTCCAAAGTGGCTCAGGAGGATGAAAGGTGGAGGAAGCCATGGCTTTTCATGGTAGGTCATAATGTAGCGATACCGGTTGTACTTCCAGAGCTTGTTCGATATGGATTTCAAATCATAGTAAACATTACTGGGAAGAGAGATAGAGGGGGAAGGAGGGTGAAACACTCCTGTGAGGAATACTCTCAGTACAGCATGAGATGCTTGTCTACAGATCTAATTTGACACTGAAGAAAAGTCCCATCCCTCCAGTGAGGTAAATCAGCTTAGCAACTTTCATTTAACAAAGCAGCAGCATGTGCCTGCACCTAGTGCACTGAGAATGAGATCTTCAAAGCTGCCTAACGGCTTTGGAGATCCAATTCCCATTCACATTAACGGGAACTGGGCAAAAAATATCCCTGAAGTGGCTTTGAAATCTCAGCCAGATTATTTAAACTTTAATATACAGCCTAACTGAGAATTCAACATTGTCTGCCTCTTCAGACTGGATTAAATGTAGGAGTCAGGCTAAGGGAAGACTGTTAACAAAACGGTTCCGCTGTTCTTCAGGGCACTCCCCCTAAACAAAACACTTGCTGCAAGAGGCAGCTACATGAGGAAATCTTCTGCAGGGTGCCCTTTGGAGCCGTGGTGTTACTACGCGTGACTGCTGTTGCACTGAATAATGTCCTGTATCACAGACCCAAGTACAGGAAAGCAACTTTGTGGTTTCTGGCACTCCAATTTCACCTGCCCCATCGTACTACACACCCAGCATATCATGACAAAAACATCAGCTTTCCTTCTGGGAGCATAATTAAATATATTGCTCATACCCATTTTTGGTCCCACTTCTGGAACAATCAAATCACTAGGCAGAAGATTTAGCATATCATCATTGCTGAAGGTTTAAATCTAGAAATAATTCAAATTACAATTTCACAGCTGTGTATTAAAAAAAAAAAAAAAAGAAAGAAAGAAATTTGATGCCTTGCCACAATTTCAGGAAAGGGATTTCTAATTGGAAGTGGGAATTGAATGAGTTTTGATCATTCAGTTTTCTTGAATATTAATCACTACATTTCTTCATTTGAATTTTTTTTAACCCACAGCTGATTTTTTCTCCCCCAGAAATACTAGAACTCTAGGAAAAAATAATTAACCACTTGTGTTAGACTGCTCTTTACTAATATTTTACATAACTTGATCCACTACACAGGTTTTCCTGTTAAAGCTTGGAAGGTTAGAATTACTACAAAAGACACTGATTGATGACTATAGAATTACAATGAATTACTGTAGAATTACTATAAAGACCCCTCCTATTCTGGCATCAGGCATTAAAAGGCAGACAGTTAAAAACTACAGTTATATTTCAGCCTAGGTCATATCAAATTGCACCAAACAACAGGAATTTTCAAATTATTTCCTAAAGGAAAAGCCTGCTCTATAAAGTCATTATCCTCTTCCCCTGAATACCTTCTCCACTTATATGTAAATTTAAATCCTGGGCTACCCTATGATCAACAGGCTCTCAGCACAACAAACACAACTACTTTTGGGAACAAAGGACAGTTACTTCAGAGCTGAACTAAAGTTGCTTGTTTGCCAGCTGAAGTTGTCCACTTTCACAGAGTCAGATTCTGTTTAAATGGCAGAACAGTTTAGGTGTCTGTTTACCATCCCCTTCCTTCTACCCTCTCGCTTCCACTGTTCTTTTTTTATTCACCAGACCCTCATGGAAGACAGGGTAACAAACACCATCAACATGCCCCTGCTGGGACATTTTTGGTGGAAGTCTTTTGCAGAAGTGTTGGTAGAACATGTATTAGTTGCTATTGCAGCAATACAACATGGTACCTACTTGAAGAAAGCAATAAGCAAGTTGACCATGATGATGTACTGCACAAAGAGGTAGACAGCTTGGAGGAACGGTGTGAGGAACGAGCCAGGAGGACAGTCTTCATTGGTTTCGCAGACTGAAAGTGAAGGACATACAGAGCATGGTTAGCATGGACATCAGAGCAGAGCATAGCAACGGCTTGTGCTCCTCATTTGCCCCAGCTAGAAACAGAATAGTCTTCATCACTTTTTTAATTTAGGGACTGTTTCACTTGTATCCATCACTTAGCAGCAGAAGAGTGGTTTCCATCTGTGATGATGAAATACCACCTGGCGTGACTAGTTCTTCTCTTACAAGGCCTAAGCCATAACCATGATACAGTATTTTTCCTATTTGCATTGACTGGTTCTACTTTTCCTATGTTCAACTGGTTTATTTGTTTAAGAATGATGCCAGGTAACTAATACTTTACTATGACGAAAAATAATTTTTCTTTATTATTTTTCTTTTTTTGTTTTCTCTTTACTCTTTCTTCCTTTCAGGCAAATTTGTAGTCTTCTCTCCAAGAGATCAGCAGCTTTGCAATCATCTAATTGGAAACTCATTCCACTGCCAGATCCCCTGACCATGAACCAGCTTAGTACTAGTTCCTATGTGCTTTGCTTCAAGCTTTGCAATATACCTCATTTGAACAGTTAAATTTAAAGGATTTAAAGTTTAATCTTTATTTTTACCAGAGAACATAATATTCTCACATTTATTCATGCAGTATTATTCACTAAGGACATGTATGTACTGGAATCAGAATTCTTTGAGAAAGAATAGACTCAATATGTGGTCAAAACTCTAGTAGCCCAAAGTGGACATGTTTCTGCACATATTTAAATTTAAGATATTGAGCTGTATTATGAAAATTACCTACCATCTATTTCTCCAGCATAGACCTCACCAAACATCATCCAGTAGGGCTGAAATACAATATCTCGTGCCAGAGTCCAAGAAGGAGGCTCCTCTGGTGAAAGGATTGCCTTTCGTGACACTCCAAAACTCAGTAGGACTATGGCCATCATGACCACAATATAGAACATGTTTGCTGTCTGGAAGACATGTTGGCATGAAAGAATTAGCTGTGTTAATTATATGTAAAGGAGACATACATTTTGGGGAAGAGTATCAATCACTTCTTTTACAAATCAGAATATAAAAACAGGGCTAATAATCTAATATGCTGGAGGAAACAGAAATACTTTATTTCTATGACCTGGAATACCCAAGTATTTTATAGAGGTTAAAGTCATCCTGGACCAAAAAGGCCACAAGTCCTATTTGCCTCTCATGTCCCTCTTAAGATCTTAAGCAATGCAGAGACCTTATGATGGTTCTTTTCCTCCATGGTATTTCTTCCAAACTGAGAGCAAGGAATAGCAGTGAAAATAAAACTGAATCAGAATTACTATGCAAGACAGAATATAAAAGTATTAATAAGATAGTTTCCAATAACGGAGGGAAATTACAGTGGGAATCTGAAGATGTCCCTCAAGACTAGTCAGCAGTTCAGCAGCAGTTCTTATACCAAAAGAGAAAAAAAATTAACTTTGATCTCAGAGAAATTTTGCCTGCTAAAATGGGATATAACTATTTGAATCAAAATGTAAAATAATAATGAGACAGCTTCTAAGAGCTAGGGGAATTATCTATAGTAGTGAGCCTGTCTGCAAGAGACAGTGATTTTTCTTTCTCCTATTATCAAGCTGGATCAGAAACTCAACACAAATGCAACCCTTCTCTAAGGAACGAAGCAAAAATGGCTTTTGTGAATAAATTCAAATAATGAATAAATTATAGAAAACTGAGACTGGATTATGGTCAACTCACAAACAGAGAAAGACCCGGTATCTTCGGGTAATACATTCACTGTGAATTATTAGGTGACCTCTCCCTTTGACCATCATTCCTTTCTGTCACTTCTCACCTTTATACTTTCCTCAACAGATGACTTAACTACAAAAATATTGCTCTGAAGTACAGTACTTACCATTTTCCCAATCATTGTCAGGTATGGACCAGCATGCTGATTCACAGCAAAAAGATCAAGGAGCCGAGCGTACCAAAATATTATATCCAAGCAGTAAAGTAGCCTCCCTGCAGTATGAACAGGGGGGTCGGACCAGCGCAAGCCAAAACCAATCATAAACAGGATGATAGCTATAGAATCAGTAAAATTCCAGTATTCATAAATCCACACCTTCACTTTTTGGCGGAATTTTCCAGGTTCTGAGATAAATACCTGAGTAGAATGCGGAAAAAAAAACACCCCAATGAAACTGCATTAAAATCACAGATCATTCTTTAACCTTTTTTGTCTGAACTTGTTCATGATATTTGGGAATGTGTCTTTTTTTTTTTTTTCCAGGGCCATGTACTGCATATTGCCATTCACTGTTAATTGAGGTTTGTACTTAATCTATAGTGTCATATTGCTCAAGTACGCTATACCAAACAGGTTAGCTCTTCCTAAGGAAAAACAGATTCTGAGATAAGTCCATACACTAAAGAGCATGTTCCTCAGCAGAAAAGAGCAGCCAGCATAGAGCTGGTATGCATAGGTATCATTATAAATTAACACGCATTTTCTAGAGGAATGGTCGTGACCTGCAACCGAAAAAAAAAAGCCCCTAAGTGATGGAAAGTACCAACCTAACCTTGCTGATGGGAAAATAACTAATGCCTTTTATTTCAGACCGAAAATATAAAGAAAGATCCTTGTATTCCGGCAAGGACATGCTAAAAAAAGGAGTGCTGGTAAATAGCAAGGTAAAGAATGGAATGTTCACTCCTTGAACTGTGAGGTGCCCCAAAGGGATTTTAAGCTTCACTGAGCAAATGTGTAAAGTGGAATCTTTGGGAGGCCATAAATAAAACCCTTGCACATTGTGCAAGTGAGGCAAATTATGCAGTGCTATGTAAGATCACACTGATAAGTACCAAGCAAAGGAGAGATTTTTAAATGTTATGCCCTGATACTGCAAGAATTTACGCATATGAACACATTAATGTAAACAAGTGATCCTGCTCAATTCAGCTGGACTAACTCACATGAGGAACTAGTTGCAGGATCAGGGCCTAAGGCTTTAACAATTAGTTGATACAATCTAGAGAAATAGAGGTTTGCAGTTATATATAACAAGGCCCTAAGCAGTTAATTAGCTGCACGTGTAAGACACTGTGTCCTACAGAGTCTTTGCCAACAAACCAGAACTAGTATGTGGACAAAGAAAATCCTGTAGAAGACATAACTTCAATATCCAATAAATGCTAATGCTAGAAAGAAGAGCTGATGTTTCCACTGTCCCACCATCAACACGATGCAACAGCGTAACAGTGATTTCCAAAGTGATTGCTGTTTCACATTCAACCTTTTCTCTCAATTAGACAATCCTTCTGTAGATTTTTATGATTTTATCTCATGCAGCCACAGAACTTGTATTTTTATTCAAGCTTCAATATATTCTTGCCTTTGTATTGCCCCCTGCGATCCTTCACCTCTCTCGTACTGAGTCCGCGTGATCTGTTTTAACAGCAACCTTCACTCAGAACTGACACTGCTTTTCTGCAGTTTTATTCCTCTAAAAGTGCCGCATTTCAAATGTCAGATAAAAGACAATTCACACTACTATTGTTTACTATGTGCCGATTCTACAGTGAAGGTATATCCGATCAGATACAATAATTAGGGAAATAAATAGCTGCATTTGTTCCCACCTTAGGTTAGATTACAAGTTGTGTTCAGAAGGTCAGATCTAATAAACTGTAAATAATTTTGTTTAATTTAGACTGGAGTATCATATCCCCATGCCCAGTGAATCCAGTATTAAAACTGGATGGGTTTTTTTCCAGTTTCATTTATGGAGGATCAGTTAAGACTTGATGGAAAGTACTCTAACATAACACCCACTACTTGATAACAATGTCCACACTCCAAGTAAATACCTAAAGACAAACTCCACATTAGTTTTAGGAAATCTAATGGTCCACTCAAAAAAATCAAGAAACAGATGTCTACATCAGGATTCCAAATCTCAGTCCAGCACAATCACTCTCAAGCAATCAGCACATTACTAGGAAAAACAGAGATTTAAAGACAAACCTTAAGAAGCATTTTCAAAGCCCAAGTGCTGGTCTTCAAATACTAGACTTCTCAGAAATAAACACCCTATATAATTCCTTTCTCTGTTAACTTCTCTACAAAAAGAATTCATGATTTGGCATTCTTCGGTTTATGCTATTCACTGATTTATAACATATCCTCTGTAGATGAGAAACATGAATGGAAAAAGCTTACCTCCCTGACTTTTTCAATAGCAGTGCTGAAAATATAAATGATAACAAGCCACTCTTGCACACTCGGTTTTGGTTCCATCTTCACCAACACAGTGTAAGTGAAGAGCATAAGAAACGCCATGTATGCCATCTACAAAACACACAGTTTATAATCCAAATGCACAAGTATCTCCAATAAATTTCTGCAAACTTATTAACAAGCAATTAGCCTAACTATATGTATTCAAACTACTGGGACACTGTCATATTTTTGAGCTCAAAATCTTTATTCCAGTTTTCCAAAGTATTTTGTATGGGAATGTACTTAAACATCATTTGGAAATTGGTGCTTTAGTGCTGAAAAAAATGGGAGAAGGGAGAAGATGAACTATTGAAGTGTATGTTGATCTAGGCCCAAAACCCATATGAGACAGGTTATTTTATCTGTACACGGCTACTTGAAAGGAAAGGCAGTGCTATGCTTTTATCCTAACCTTCTGTAGGAACACATAACCATTCTCAAAGCTACGTGAATCACTGTGGGTTAATCACTGCCTTCCAAAACACAGGAATAACAATATTAGGTGGAAAGCCCATATTTTAAAGGTAACAGAACACACTATAAACCTATCTAAGATAATAGATTAACAACTTAAAAAGCACTTAACCACACCCTGTTAAAGGAACAAGTTATGTATGTGGTGGTCTGCCCCAATAGGCAACCTGATCCTCAACATGCTAAGATCTAATGACACATGGTTAGTTACTAAAATAAATCTAACAAATGCATATTTCTCTAGACTAAATGATCTCCTACAGATTAATATTCCCTCCTTCAGAAACAGTTTCTAAAAAAACACGAAAGGGACTAAAGGGACACGAATCTGTGAGGTATTTAAGGCCAGCTTCAAATCTACCCCTACATGTGCAACTAACCACTGTAAAAAGCTGTGTGCTCAGTTTTTTCTTTTGTTCCTTATAATTGGTTTTTGGTTGTTTTGGTTGTTTTTAATGAATCTCCATGATTCTAGCAGAAAACTTTTCACTTAATTGTTAGAAAGCCACTAAGTGGCTTCAAATCCATGCTAGGCAAAGTAAAAGAAGCATCACGTGGTATTTGAAGGATCAAAGGAGCATTTTGGCAACCCGAGTTCTACCACGATGACCTACCGTGTGAAACCAGAACTTGACAATTGGTGCGTTGTAGAACTCATAGATTTTTCTAGTGCCAGGCAGGTTTCCTTGTCCACCATCTACTTGGCTTCCATCAGACTTCCGAGCAACCTTCTCCACATCACAATCCTTCTTCAAAAGAGAACAGCATTTTAAAAGTAACAAACCATGGTCTATGACTGCAAAGGTTGTGTCACATTAGAGGGAAGACAGGCACAGATGTTTAAGCTTTGTTCTGAATATACAAACTGTTACTGTAGCTTGATTTTGTCTGGTTACAATCAGATCATTTGCAATAATGAACTTGCACAGTTTTCCACTATAAATACTCATTTAGATTTGATCTTACAACTACAGGCAGTGGACTGGGCATCAGCAGACGTGAATCCACTCCTGCTTCTGCCACCCATTTCTTTAACCCTTTAAGCTAAGTCACTTAATTACTCTGTGTCTCACTTTCCCCATCTGTGAAATACAGATAAATAACAACTCCCAGTACGACATAATTGTGTTAGACAGAACTCCACTGACAACTGTGGCACATTATGAAAAGTGGAATGAGCATCACATTTCCACTCATATATACCACTGCACTGAAAATGTCAAGACAGTGAAATTCTACACACAGAAACTAATTGCTATTTTTGATGTACTGTATGCCTCATTAGAAGGTGAGGATGAAATAAGTACTGTCTTACAAAGGTCTGCCAACAAAAAATACAGGTAGTATCTTTATTACGTTCAGTAAATAAAACAAAAAAAAAAGAAAAAAAACAGAAAGCAAACACACTTGATTCTGTATCCAGAGTCTGACACTTGTCTGAGTACCCCTCTGAAAGTACAAATATCTAATTGTCGCTGAAGCCTAAGAAAAGCTGCAGGTACAGCACTGGGCAACTAGCAAAACCAGAAGGTGCAGAAAGCATTTTTCAGAGCTGAAGGACAGAGACCTGGGGAAACTATAAATAGCTAATAGCTGGGCAAGTCTAAGGGAACCAAATTACCTTGTTCAATTTTGCTTTAATGCTGGCCAATTGCCTTGGCTAATATCAGTGCTAAAATTACTGCTACTAGACATCTGCAGTATAGCACTTTTTATGTGACATGTTTATCCCTACTACACAACACTTCCTTGAGTTATATGGGGAATTTTTTTTTTCTCTTTCATCACATTAGGCTAAGAAAAGTGCTACACCAGAGAATCACAGAATGGTTTGGGATGGAAGGGACCTTAAAAATCCCCCATTCCCACCCCCCCTGCCATGGGCAGGGACACTTTCCACTAGACCAGGTTGCTCAAAGCCACATCCAGCCTGGCCTTGAACACTTCCAGGGATGGGGCATCCACAGCTTCTCTGGGCAACCTGTTCCAGTGCCTCACCACCCTCTCCATGAAGAATTTCTTGCTTATGTCAAGTCTAAATCTATCGTTACCCCTTGTCCTATGACTACAGGACCTTGTAAAAAGTGTCCAGCTTCCGTGTAGGCCTTTTCAGGTACTGGAAGGTGCTGTAAAATCTCCCCGGAACGTTCTCTTCTCCAGGCTGAACAAGTCCATCTCTCTCAGCCTGTCCCCATAGCAGAGGTGCTCCAGCCTTCTGAGCATCTTCGTGGCCTCCTCTGGACTCGCTCCAACCTTCTTATATAGCCCATATCTTTCTGATATTGAGGGCTCCACAGCTGGACGCAGCACTCCAGGTGGGGTCTCACCAGAGCAGAGTAGAGGGGCAGAATCCCCTCCCTCGACCTGCTGGCCACACTTCTCTGGATACAGCCCAGGATACGGTTGGCTTTCTGGGCTGCCAGCGCACACTGCCGGCTCATGTTCAGTTTTTCATCAACCAGTACCCCCAAGTCCTTCTCCTCAGGGCTGCTCTCTATCCACTCTCCACCCAGCCTGTACTTGTGCTTGGGATTGCCCCAACCCAGGTGCAGGACCTTGCACTTGGCCTTGTTGAACTCCATGAGTTTGGCAGTGGCCCACCTCTCCAGCCTGCCCAGGTCCCAGTGGGTCTGATACACAGGATCATATCAATGTGTTAACATCAGATTTTCCATGGTGAAGGAGAAAATTTGTCCCACGAAAGTGTGCAATTTCCAGCTGCAGCAGGTTACTGGAATTCATGACTGCATGCAAAAGATGCTCTATATGGCACAGGTATACTGTTGAAATTTCTGTACATTTTCTATAATATTTCATATTAGAGTATTTAAGAAAAAGGAGTACTTTGGTCTTTTGTTTTAAACAATGCTCTGTATTAGATAAAATCAAAAGTTAAGCATATTGTTAGCACAGGAAGGAGACAGCCCTGTCTGAGACAGGTCAGAAAAGTGCTTACGCACATTGCTGTCTTGCCTTCTACCAGACCACAGAGGTGGTTCTGCTGCAAATAATTATGACTGACCTGTCCTCTGTATCACAGCTGTTACCTAACCCCATAAAAAGCATTTTGAATTGACTGTATTAGATAGGCACTGCAGGAGATAATGGCTGCGAGCATTTATCTGCATCAGAGAGAGAAAACAGAAGCATGGCATTGACAGGCCTACCATGCTGATGCGAAAGCCCTCAACGACAATCCACTCTCCTTTATTTTACACATATTGAAAGTTAACTGAGAAAGTCCCAAGCAATCTACAGTGTTCATCTGCTCTAATATAAGGAGAGCACAGCAAAAATGACTGCCTGACAGCTCTCACTTGACAATCCTGTTATCATCGGGTAGCACCTCACCAAGATTTACCCTTCTGGATGGAAATTCTCCATGTCTGCTCTCTACCTCAGACTGAAAACTTTCGGAAATTTTCAGTTCCAGGAATGGTTTGTGCAGAATGAGAAAAAGAAAGTACAGACAGTTCAGCTTCACAGAAGGCTGGGGGAATTCAGATATTATAAGGCAAAGACTTCACCTACGCTGGTGACTCTCTACAGACAGGTCTGAAAAGGACATTTGCACAACCCCAGACCCCCCCCGAGTGTTTCAGAGCTCATTTCAGGCGACAAAACCAAAATCACAGTGCTTCTCTTGTGCTTTAAATGGCATCTCTGCTAGGCTCAAGAAATGCAGAAATAGAGATACCTGTTTTTCAACAATGAGGGCATCAGCTGGACCTCTGGAAGGGCTATGATCTAATTCAGGGGACAAAATCTCAAGGAGAGACTAAGAGCAAAGGATGACCCTGGAGAGGAGGAGAGGCTGTGGCTGAGATGCGGGGCAGAGGCAGCTGGCCAGGCAGAGCAGGAGGACAGAGCGAGTTGGAGAGGAGGGGATCTGGGCTGCCTCAGTTCTGCTGTTTCCTTGCTTTGGGCAGCTCAACTGGAGAACCTGAATTATGTTTTATGTTCTTAGATTACCTGGTATACAAGATTACATAGGTATTTATCTGCAGCTTGAATAGACTGTTCTCTAAAATACTTGCCTAACTGACAGACACTTATAATCTCATTATACTTCTGTGAGGTTGGGAAGGATTTTCTCATTATGACCACTACAGAAGTGACAGCCAGGATAGATCAAGTGACTTGTTCAAGGTCATTTCAGTCTGTATCCAAACCAGGACCAAACCCCTAGTTCTTGTGAATTGGGCCCCAGTGCTTGCAGCTGATCACCTTCTCCTCACTTCTCAGGATTATACAGTAGTAAACAGACAGACCCTGACACACAGATGGCTGATCATCACAGACTGACCAGAGACAAGGCATCTTTAGAGCTGGTTGGGCTCTGATCCCCATGATACCACGTGAACTGGTGGAAGTCTTGGGACTGAGGCACATGAGACATTTCTGCCTTGCTTTTAAACTCCAGCATCAAGATGGTGGGAGGCAGAAGAATACTCATAATGACCTAAAAGAGAGAGACAGTATTCAGGAAATTAATTCAGCAGTGATAGCACAGACCTGAGGCTATGGCTGTGAATCAGCTATACGTGGCACCAGCACAAACCCAGCGCTGGCCTGTGAAAGAGCCACTGGTACAGGGAATCACTGTATCACACTCCTACAGCCTCTGAAGGAGTGTGTTGCTCTTGCCCACTTTGTGGCTTTGAAGAGTATCATGGTATCTGGGGATATAATAGATACTGCTTCCCATGTCGCAGTGACATTCCTCCCATCAGCAGCTCTGACAGAGAACCAGTAATGCGGGGCAACGAGAGCAGGTAGGGAGGGACTGAAGGATGCTGAGAGAATGGGAACAGCAAACAAAACCTCACAGATGCATTGTTCTAATATCATCCCACAGCTTCTTTTGCAAAGAAGTAAAACAGAAACAAGAACTATCTTCCCTCTCCACCTCTCTCTTCTCTCCCAGATGTGTACATTCCAATCCATGCTTAAGCACATCTGTCTGAAGCCGCATTAGACATATTCCTAACCACAAAGACATGCATAAAGCACCTAAACAGCATCTGAACACTCAGAAAAAGCTAGAGTGATGTTACCTTAAACCAAGAGTTCTTCCGCATCTTCAGGCGTCCCATCCACATATCAGTGAGCAGCATCTGTGTGCAAGTATGGGATACGAAAGGCCGCAGCCCCACAGATACTGCTAGTTTTAAGCACGTTGAGTTGCTCCAGTTTTTCAGTTCATAAGTCAGCAACTTCATGGCCATCTGCTCATTCTGTTTGAATGCTTTCTCCAGCACTTCCAAGGCAAGCTGCCCAAATTCCCTAGAGCAGAAAGGAATTAACGGTTAATGTAAGAGGGATCAGTCAAAACTGAAAATCACTGCTGCAAAGGGGCTGGTTTGAAAGCTAAGCTAAGGTTCAGGTAACCATCCCAGTAAGTATGCCTTCTCCTATTGTTGCCATGGTTTTATCAATGTAACTAGCAAAAAATAATCTGGGCAGTAAATCTAACTATTCAGTCCTAATCACAAGGTTTAGCATCATCCTGTTTTCTATTTTTGTTCTGTTTTGGTTTTATCTCATTCAGCAGTTAAAATGGACCTACAAAGTTCTGTTTATTTCCTTCAACAACATACTTACTCGTCACCACTCTGGGTAAGCACTGCAGACAGCTGCAAAAGACTTTTCTTTTACACTGGCTCTTAAACTATCTCAAGAAAGACACACCTTCCTTTAAATTAAGCTTTGGAGCTGCATGCAAAACAAGACAGCTCATCTTACTGTACACTGAAACTGAGGCATAATGTCTGCAAAGCACACAGTATGTCATTAGCAAGAAAAACTACCAGAAAACACTAAAATGAAACTACAAACTTGAAAAAAATTCTACTTCATTTTCTATTCATTCAGTTATTTCAGCAGACATTTTTCTTTAGTTCTTACACAGAGCAGGATTTAAGCACTGATTTTAGTTTGCCCATTGCGACATTATAGATTGGAAAAATCCAACGTATATGTGCCATATGGCTTTTTAACAAGTTGAACTGGAAGGGAAGCTGAAAGAAAAATTTCACACTTGACCATTTCACAGACAGTAAGCCACACATTACTCACCGATATTTCACTTTTCAAACACGCAACTACATAACATGCTAATAGCTTTCCTTTAACTCTCAACCAGACTGCACACCAATACTGTGCTCCATTACATAATATGAATAGTGGGAAGCTGACAGCATTTCTTTTACACTCTGTAGACCATAGCACCACTAACCTTACAAACTCTTAGTGGATTAGGAGAATATCTAACCATTCTAAGCACTGCAGAATTTTATTAACTGAAGTGAAGGGAGAACTCATACTTTGAGTACTTCTTGAGTTCTTCTGAAGTGTCATCCACCATGTTGCTCTGTTTAGCTTCATGTGCCATCGCCCTGTAGAGTTTACAAGCCACAACGGCTTTGACCATGGCTTCCTCTCCATGCTGCCAGAAGAACATTGCCATCTTCTGCCTTTTCATTAATACTGCCCAAACCAGGAGGTCATTATAGGGGTAGATAAAGCCAGATGACTCATAGTTCTCTGCAAAGTTTATATCCTCTTTTGATTTCTTCTTACTCTTATGGAAAGCAGTGGATCTTTCCTACAAATTTGTTTTTCAAAAAAAAAAGAAAATCCCAATGAGTGGTTGAGGTTCAGATTCATGTAAATAAAAATGCACGCAAATCTGAATTGCAAGTAGCAAACTATTTGATCACTGTACACATTTAAGTCATAAACCACAGCTAGGATGACATTCAGATCACCAATGATAAGAATCTGGTAGTATTAGTAGAGGAAAAACACTCCTTGCACTGTACCCATGCCATTTATGGCCTGACCTTCCATAGCGTTGGGCAGTCTCCAAATCCCATGATACCAAGATAAAAATCCTTGTATTTGTGTCATGACAGGAGAAAAAGCAATCAGTAGGTTGAAACACACGCCAAGGACTTGTGGTACTTAAAGATGATTTTCACTGTCTGCCCCACTTGTAATGTAAACTTGCTGTATGTTCATGTCTGAATATTTCTCCACTAAAGGCAAAGAAAGAGTCTTCCTGGCATAAAGTGAGGTTGCCTCAGTGCTATAATGGGTTCATTTTGGCTCGGACTAATTCCAACATAGTCATTTAAATTTATTCTACTTTATGTATGTAGATATTTGTATGTGGCAATTTTTACTCTTCTACTATTCTTTCTTTGAAAGAAAATATTCTGTCATCATTTTCCAGATACCAGAACCATATCTCTTCTTAGCAGGCTAACTGTAGCTACCTTAATAAGTAATTATGAGAAAACGTTGGGAAAGTCAGAGAAATCCTACTGTTGCTTCCAAACAAGAAGAGTCTTCACCCAAGCCTGATGTTCAGAAATCTGGCGATACCACATTTCAGTGAATGAAATCCTTTTGCAACAAATAGACAGAGGTTGAAAAGCACCACAGGAGGAGTCTGATCTTGATTTAAACATTCAAGTTGCAAGATCTGTAATTCATGAGAAGTGAGCAGTAAAACATTGCTTCCACTGGAATTCTAGTAGAATTACGATAACTAACGGCCTGACCAATATACGTCTAAAATTCCTCAATAAAATTGTTAGCAGCCTAGTATGTCCTAAGCAAAGGGTCAAATAAGCAATTACATTACCTTGCATTTGTAAGGCTGTGCTGTTCTGAAGAACTGAGAATGCAAAGTACTTTCAGCAGATCCCATTCTGCTACTTGTCTGATGATTCTGATGAAGGGAATGAGACAGGCTCTGAGAAAAGCTGGAGAGCACTCTCTAGATCCAAAGGTATACCATAAAACACAAGGAGATAAATGGAAGTTAGAGATGAAGTTTGCCTGTACTTATCTCTGATTGCGATGGTGTCTGTAGAAACTGATCTTATTCAAAGACTAGTGAGTTAGCAATCACGACGACTACCACTGGAGCTTATACCACCAAGGAAAAAGTCACCTGTTTCACATCTAATTTAAAAAAAAAGTATGTTATCCTGAATCCAAAATACTGATTTCCCCAATAGCATCCACCAATTACAACAACAACAACAGGGCTTGCACCACACTGGACCTGCCCAACCTAGAAGCTCTTCTGAGTGCTTATCCTTATAAAAAGTGCCCTAAGCTCTTTGAAACACAGAAGTTCTCTGACCTTTTTGCTGGCCATTTCCTCCAAAGGATGGCATGCCTAGCCACCCTGGGCATCTTGTTCAGTGTTGACTGAGAGGGAAGAATGTCACCAGCTGAATCACCAACACTCTGGTGTTGATCAGGTGGTTTCACCCATCCCTGTTAAGGTCATTATTTCATGAGGATACAGCGAAGGGTTTTATAACTGCTCAAATATTTCTTTTTAAGCATTGTATTAAGCCAGTGACACACAGGAAGCTCTGTTTCTGTGTTTCTCTTCACTCCAAGTAACAGTTTTTATTTTTCTTCTCATTTTCCTTGATCACCCTGAGCTGCTTCTATCAGTCATGAAAGCAGCCTATGGGGATGAAAGGTTTTTGTCATTTGTTTTTTAACATGTGAAATTACTTTAATCAAAGTCCAGTTCTACTCCAAAAAACGTGGAGAATTCTATGCGAGAAATCTGCTCCTTCTGTGATGTTGGGAGTGATATTCAGCTAATGTACTGAGAAGCTTGGGCTGTTTTCAAGTTACTGATTTTGGAAAGTCAACACAGAAAATGAAAGTGCGCGGATGTCTGCACATGTTTCTGAGGCAGTTTGTTTATTTGTAAAGGTGACAGTACTGATACGCAGACATGGCACAATGTTATGACATACAGCGAAATCCTCTGCCTGCACAAAGCCATTGCATCATGTCTACAGCCTGGCACATCCAGCATGAGACCTCCCCTGTGATGACCAGTCTGCCACAGAACAAGCTCTACCAGGCAATCACAGCTCATTGGGCAGGAAGATGCACCACTAGCACCAAGCTGCTTCTAAAACGTATTTGTCCAAAACTCAGGTCAGGGACCTCCATGTTTCTCTTCACTATGCCATGCTGGTATGCTCCAAGTCTAGGTCAATGCCTGTTAATTCAGTATTTTTGTGACGTGGTTCAAGGTGCAAGAGCAGAAACGTGCAACTGCTTTACTAAAGGGAAAACAGTGGTTGGTAGAGCCTTGTCGAACTATATTGATGGATGTCAGGCATAGAGCATAAACCGATTAGCAGACACAAAGGTAAATTTACCGAACTATAGTTAATTTAACAAGCACTGGTGGTCTTGGGGGACCGGGAGTAGTTTGGGAAGAGATTTGTCAGTTTTATTTGCAAATCTTCACGGTTGGCAAAGATTTGTAAAACAGACAAGTATGCCATATATTTAACCAATGCTCTTCAGACAAACCACAATGACAACCTGAGCTATTTTTAGGTGTCACATTTTGTTTTTTCTTGATGACCAGTGGTAGTCATTTCATAGAAGTTACCTTGTGTTTTCTGTAGAGGTCATTGTAGAGACTTCGGAAATGCTTCCTTGTGTAGCTGCTCCGATAAGCTCCACCAAGGAGGTACTCTATCACCAGCCCAATATCGATCAGTGATATCTTGTAATCCAAGGAAAGGGCATTCTGAAACACCAAATGTCACAAGCAATTCATGATGCTATTACATGCAACATTCAACCATGTCAGAGCCCTGCCACTATGAGGGGAGTCTGGAAGAAGGTGCAACTGAGAACTCCTGCACCTCTCAGGAGAGAGTACACAGTCATCAGGCATACAAAACCCTCCTAGGTGGGAGAACACAGGCAAATCCACATTTTCAGCCTGAAAAGTCTGATGCCTACAGTCCACTGTACTCACATTGCACAGGGACGTATCTTGCAATGTTCACAAGACCAGCTGCATTCAACAGTGAGGGTAATGGTTCTTCACGTTAATCACCAACATCCAGAGCAACTGATAAAAATATTCTTCTCATAACAAGAGAAATCTAGCATAGTATGATTTACTCATTAAACTAATTCATTAATAAAGTAACTCTATAGAGATTTCTAAGTTTCAAATCTTACCCAAAGGCGTAATTAGTTTACTCATTAAACTAATTCATTAATTAAAAATGAAGACATGGATGAGCATGTATTCAATGTTGTAGAGTAATTCCTGGAGACTGGTAATCTCTTGTAGAGGTTCCTGATAACTAGGACAGCAGCACCACATGCATTAGCTGTACCTTCTGAGTCTCTCACCACTTCTCTTTAAAGCACCACTGCTTCACAGTTTACTTCCACTGTCCTTCCAAGACATAAGGTTTGTGAAAATTAAAGCCACCCCCAATAAAAAAATCATACCAGAAATCCCACTACGTGAGACCACAGAACTCTGCAAACAGTCAGACCTAGCATTTTATTTTATATTAGCATTTGTACCCTGGAAAGAATTACCCAATTAATCTAGTTTTGGATCTAGGCATCTCCTGCAGTGGAGACTAGATGCAGAAAGTACAGTTCATCCCTCCTTGGCTAAGCAGCGCTGTGAGGTACAATAGATAACAGAAACACGAAATAAATTAACTGTGTAGCTAAATAACAAGGCTGCTGCTAAACTACTAGTGGAGCCTGTGCTCCATGCAGTAGTCATCCACTGCCACCTTCTGTTCTCCTAGGCAATGCAGCACATCAAAATAATAATATAGCTTGTCACAGTATCCTTTTGTTACTGCTTAACAAGGAAAGACTTTGTTAGCTTTGGGGAAAAAAAATATATAAAGCAATGAGCATAATTAGTGCACTAGTTCACTAAGCCTTTTGCACAATCACTTCATGATGTCACTTTGGTAACTTGAGAAAGAAAGTCAAAGTCTGATCTATGCTAACTCCTCGGCTTTGAAATTAAGGTACAGGACCCTTGGGAGTGTTCAGTAGTAGTATGCTAGTTAATTGCTTAGGGGAATCAGTGGGATGAAGATAAAACCATTTAGTATATGTAGGAGCATAATAATGAACCCATCACTTCTTTCCGAAAATTTCCTGTTACTTCATAGCAGTGTGCTAGTGGACACTGAAGTTCTAAACTACCATTTTTGCTCCCTAGCCTTTCCTGTGTGAATTACCTGTTTCACATCTCCAACCAGGTGATGCAAAAGTAGATTTGATGGTCCTTGTTTCTGTGGTGTGAAAAGACAGTAAATATGTCAGTCGGCATTAGAAAATCAATATAGTAAAAGAAAGCAGATAAAAGATCTTCAGGATAAGCTACTGTAATTCAAACTCCCCCACAAACCTCTTCAAAAATATTTTCAGCATCAATCTGCAAAAACTACCATCTTAAATCTTGATATATTCTAGAAAGAAGTTGGAATCACTTTGTTTAAACAACATACCATGTTCAGCAAGATAAGCATGTATCACATAGCAGATTAAAATCAGGACATATTTCTCATGAGCTTCAGATGAGTACTCTGTCTGGTTCATGTCAATAAATCAAAAGTAAAAAGCTTTGAAACCAATCCAAAAATCCAATATTACAATCAAAAATGCTCAAATCCCATTCATTTTCAATTTTTTTTTTCAAAAATCCTACATAAAAATGTGGCCTAATTATCAAATCAAGCAAAACAGTATCCTTGCTAGGCATTCTTATCTAAAGTTGTACACTGGGATTTCAAATACTCACTGTATTGTAGAGTTCTTCCAAACGGGATATGGTAAGAAAACGGTGCATGTTCACTCCGTGCTCTATTAACAGCTTCACAAAATCTACACGGTCCATCACTAAAGCGTCCAGCATTGCCTGTTCCAAGGCACCAACCTCCAGAAGGACAGAGATAAAGGAAAAGCTTAGAAAATTATCTTCTTTTGAAAATAAATAAATCATCCCTGAACAGCTGGGGATGTCTCTACCACAATAATATGTCTTTATGTATATTTACACAGTCCAAATGAAAAATACAGAATCACAGAATCATTTAGG